TTAAACCTCAAGTAACTGCTCCTTTGCTACATATTAGCTCCTAGTTGTCTTGGCAAGATACGTTTGTAATAATGTAACATGTTTTAGAGTATTGGTGATTTAAATTATTGTTGCTTTAAAATACAATTTCAAGCTGCTTGGATTCTTTTCCTCTTTAATTACTTCCAATCCTATACATGAAATTAAACTTTGCATGAAAGTTTATGATCCAACAAATAGCAAAATTGACTATGGGTTTAAACCTCAAGTAACTGTGCCTTTGCTACATATTAGCTCCTAGTTATCTTGGCAGAATACATTTATGTTACATGTATTTCTCCGGTGCGAAACTTCACGTAACAATTGGTATTAGTTCCCGGTTGCTCGAATGAATATCGTGATCCGGGAAGATGGGGCCAAAGAAGGCTATGCAAGCAACGACAACCTCCGACCACCCGACGATCGACGAGGAGGTCCTCTAAGGTCTCCTTCACGTGCAGCAAGCCATCACCAGACAGATTGATGACATTTGCCAACGTCAGTAGGGAGTCGAGAAGGGTATACAGAAGATTGGGGCCACCGTGGCACAACTTCAGGCATCCATCGCGCAGAGACAGGTATCTATGGTGCAACAAATCTAAGAAGCCATGGCGCAACAGCAGGCAGCGATCGCACAAAAGCAGGCGGCCATGATGGAGATGATGCGCCAGTTGATTCCTACTCCATTAAGGAAAAGGAGAAAAATATCCCAACTCCGATACGGCGTTCGACCGCGAACATCTAGACCGGTGAGGAGCTAACTGTAGCTCTTATATCATCTCCCGCTCTAAACGATGAGCTAGCCGTAGCTCAAATTCCACCATCCATCGTACCACCACCCATTACCATCGTGATCTCGACTGCTGTAGCCGAGGAGTTCGTGATCGTTGCCGCACCAACAATCACCACCACCGCTGAAGACGAGGAGCTAATTGTATCTCTGTTTTTATCGCGAAGGACATCACTATGTGAAGAGCCTCCCAAATCCGCCGCCATAATGTTCACCATGGGTCAGGGAAAACCTTCAGTTCGAATAGTTGTAGCTCCGATGCTACGAGACGCTGCTGATCGGAATGACTCACCGGAGCTCCTAGGTTGTTTCACACCATCGAATGCCACACTGATTTGGGTCTAATTGTACACTTTTTATCTCCGTTTCTCTTTGATGTTTGTTGCAATTGAGCTTGAAAAGGGGTAGTTTTATGCTAGGTTTCTATTGTTTTAATGTGTTTCAGATCCTAAAAGGAGAAACCAACCCCAGAGTCGAAAGTTGCAAGAAAAGGAACAAAGACTGGGGAAAGAGGAAGAAACAGTTTGTGTTCACGATCTCCAGGATCGTGAACTAGATCCACAATCTGTGAACCAAGAAGCGTCCAAAGGGGATTCTGAGGTTACTAATACCAAGGCTTTGAATGGTCGCTAAGACCGTGAACTGTAGCCACAAACCGTGAACCCAAGAAGTGAAGCGGTGCGTTTTGGTTCAGTACACTGTGTTCATGGATGCGTTTTGATGTTCACGGCCATGAACTAGGTTCGATCTCAGTATAAAAGGCAGCTGAATGGAAGAAGAAGGAGGGGGACCTAGTGTGAAAAACTTCTTCTTCTTCTTCTTCTTCTTCTTCTTCTTCAGATTTTTAGAGTGAGAAAGTGACGAACCAAAGAAGAGGAATAGCTAGGGTTTCAAGGAGCAAAGCTAGCATCTTTTTGATGGTTTTATTTCTTCTCCCTTGTGTTTTTCCTTCTCCTAGAATGGAGTAGTCCCTTCTTTCACTTGGGTGTTTATAAACCCTATATATAATTATGTGAGTGCTTGTATGAATTGATGATTTGTGTGTGGTTTTGTTATTATGAATGTGGATGTAATATTCATGAATGATTGTGTTGTGTGAAAGCCTATCAATCTAATTGCCATTCTAACCTAGGTAGAGAGAAAACCCCCTTCATTTCTTTGAAAGAGGCTAGAATGCTGGGTTTTCTTGGGTAATTCATTGCCTCCTCGTTAGGTTAACGCATGGCAAAGCCCCTATTTTGTATTAGCACTTAGGGTTTGGTTGTGGGTGACCGTCCGAACTCTAATTTGAAGGTGAAGTCTAACCATTCCTTGTCAATCGGTTGAGAGGGTCACATTAGTGGCTTGGATCGTATCACATTTCTTCGACATAGAGACTAAGAGGGTAGCTTTGGCTACTTGTTAAACTTCCCTGCGGTTTATAACCCACTCACCACACACGGTCATTTGATCCTTCAGGTCATAATTGCTAGCTAGGGGGAGCAACACCTGGGTGAAGCCTTCTCAATTAGTGTCAAAACCATTTCATCTTTGCAAAGTACTTAAGCTTTTGATATTTGTTCTCACCAAAATTATTCGCTAGATAATGTTTCAAACAATCGAAGTAGCGGTACATGGACCAACCCGAGTTGATATTTAAACATACTTGCCCTATATTGCACCCATCTAAGGTTTATACTTGGACCTTAGGTGGGATTTTATAGAGATAGTCAGAGCGAGTCAAATTTTTGGCGACGTTGCCGGGTGACCACGGTCTGTTATCGTGAAAAGTTTGTTTGGTGTTATTGTAGCTTTTAATTTCTATTTTGTTAAGTTGTGAAGTGTGCTTATGCTAGACGTGTTGTGTTCTTTGAGTGTGTGTAGGGAGGTGCATTGTAACACCCTAGCTCGGCTGAGCACTAATTTTACAAAAATGCCCTTGAAAAATAAAATACTCAAATCTTAAATTGCAGCGGGAAAAATTTCAAAAATAAAATACTAAAAACACACTCTTGAAATTCAAGTAACGCCCTAACACATGGGCAAACTCAATACTTAACATATCAAAATGATTTCTAGTCTATACTCATGATCATAAATGTAAATAACTAATGATCTCTAATGGTGTTGTACTGAAAACCTTGACTAAGCATCCTCTGTGACGCTTATATTCCCTTCTCTAGCTGGCTGCTCACTAACTGCTCCTCTAGCTCTTCAAACTGGTGAGTGAGATGGGGTCATTCTACGCCCTTACGTTTAACATCTCATTAATACTTGATCACTTTACTTAACTTAGTGGAAGTTGTTTTGTACTTCCACTATTAAAAGTCTTAACTCTTAAAACTGTATGGGAGTTACTGTTACTCTCCATTCTTAAAGCTCAAAACTCGACTTAAATACTTGACTGACATGGGGATCCCTCACTAGCTAGTCTGGTTGCCAACTCATACGTATGAGAAGCCATCAAGGCTTTCCTTAAACTTAAACTTATCGTGGAAGGCTCTTCTTCCATGATTCTCAAGAGCATAACTGCTGCTCATCTTAAAAATCTCAAGAGCATAACTGCTGCTCAACTTAAATATCTCAAGAGCATAACTGCTGCTTTGTCTCAAAGATCTCAAGAGCATAACTGCTGCTCTATCTGAACATCTCAAATGGTAATGGACTGGCGCTAACGACTTAAAACACTTAAAACGACTTCACCTTCTTGAAGGTGAAGTACTTCTTAAAACAAAAGGACTTGTTCTTAACTTTAACAATCACTCATAAACGTAAAGCTTTAAAGTAAACATCACACATTCACTATAAACCACAACTCAAACAAGCACATATCATCAATCATGAGCATAAACAACCATAGCAACACTTCACGAAAATACTGAAAACTCTAATACTTGAAAGAATACGTAAGGCGTAGAATATACCCCCCTTTACACTCACCTGACTATATAGTTAAAAATACATCGGCTTCATGAACTAGGTATTCCAAAAGGTGTCATGGAACAACTTAGCATTTGATCGACGTTGCTCCCCCATCAACTCCATTCGCTTAGTCGTCAAAAATCAACCACAACAAATTGCCCAAGCCATGTTAAAGCACCTCCCACATATGTACATATTCAAATTTCACTTTTTATTCCTCTACGAACGAACTAAATGCGGGTAGTGTAGGAAACTTACCGAAAACCATTCGCCTTCAATTTCCGGTTCCCCGTACTGCATCTCCAGAGATGGCCGCCGCTACTTCCCAGGTGTGGTTTCCGGTAACGATTGTGATTTCTCGGTGGAATATATAGAGAGGGGACACGTTTTGGATTTGGCCCTGCTCATATCCAAATTGATCCTCTCCCACTGACTCCTTGTCTTGGCCTTCCTGCTTGCTTAAGCAGGTAGCTGTCTGATCCTCTCCCACTGATTCCTTGTCTCGGCCTTCCTGCTTGCTTAAGCAGGCACCTATCATGGTAGAGGGGAGAATGGCCGCTCACCGGTGCATCGCCTCCTTTTCGCATCTCATGCTTGCTTAAACAGGCAGCTTTCGTAGAGGAGAGAATCATTGATAATGGACGCTGTTCACATCTCAATCGCCATGGTCTGCTGCTGAATCGCCTCCTGCTTCAGGCACCTGACATAGTAGAAGGGGTCGTCGTTCACATCTCAATCACCCTGGTCCGCTGCTGAATTGCCTCCTGCTTGCTTAAGCAGGCACCTGACATAGTAAGGGGGCACGATAATGGACGCCCTGGCCCGCTACTGAATTGCCACCTGCTTTGGCACCTGACATACTAGGTTCACCTGTTTGCTTTAAGCAGCGACCCTGGTCCACTGCTGAATCGCCTCCTGCTTGCTTAAGCAGGCACCTGACATAGTATATGGGGCCGCTGTTCACATCTCAATTCTCTAGTCCGCTGCTTGCTTAAGTATGCACCTAACATAGTGTGTGTGTGTGGGGGGGGGGGGGCAGGATAATGGCACCCATGCTCCACTGCTGAATCCTCCTGCTTCGGCCATTTGACATAGTGTGTGTGTGTGGGGGGGGGGGGGGTATCGTAAACATCTCAATCGCTCTGGTCCGCAGACATAGTAGAAGGGGGCACGATAATGGCGACCCTGCTCTGCTGCTGAATTGCCTCCTGTTTCGGGCATCTGCCATAGTGGGGGGCAGCCGTTCACACCTCAATCGGCCTGGTCCGCTGCTGAATCTCCTCCTGCTTGCTTAAGCAGACACGTGACATAGTGGAGGGAACACGATAATGGCTGTTTCGCCTCTTGAGATCGCTTCTACTGCTGAATCGCCTCCTGCTTGCTCAATCAGGCACCTGGCATAATAGAGGGGTGCATCGATAATGGTCGTTCCACCTTGCTGAATCACCTCCTGCCTGCTTAAGTAGAAAGTTGACATAGTAGAGGGGTGCGTCGAGAGATCCCTCAGCAAGTGGCGATGAGTCCCGCGAGGCGACGTTTGCTTTGCTGGGGAAGGAGTACCCATCTGCCACCTTGCGCAATGGTGGTGCGAGGTTGAGATGGGAACTGGGAGGTGGCGGTGTTTATGATTGTCCCCTGGTATTAGGGAAAATAAAGGGAGCTATCTGCACTCGCACATCTTAGGATTAGGTTTAGTGATTTTTATATATATATGGATGGGGTGAATGTGTAGCAAGACCCAGTGGGTTAGGATTTAGGGTTTTAATAGTTGTAGTCCATTTTGGGAATTTCACGGGCGAGTTAAATCAGAAACTCGATTAACGTCTGTAGCTTTCTCATTTTATGTCAAAATTCAACACCACTTGAATGGATAGTTCACATTTTTAGTCCTCCTCGACATTATCGTGGAATTTGACAAATTTGAACCATGGACATAATGGTCATTTCGGCTTAGAAAAAGATGGAGTGTAACATGCATGACCCGGATCAATCCGGCGCCTTTAACACCAGTGGACGAGGAAATCAACTAGACTCTCCGACTTTTAGCTCGAGAGAGGGAACAAGCAGAGCCAAGAAGGAGAATTGAAGAGAGGGGACAACAAGTTGGTCCCGAATTGAAGGAATTGAAGGAGAAGTTGAAGTTGAGATGGCAGGGAATCAACATTGAGGGGCTAATCTTCTTCAAAATGTGGAAGCGGGAGCCGAGTAATAGCCAAGGACTATGGGTATTACATGGCTCCACAGGCGGCGGATATCCAATCTCCCATCTTACATCCACCCATGGCCGCCAGCAACTTTGAAATCAAGCCTGATCTTGTGACAATAATTCAAAACAACCCCTACTTTCATAGGCTTGCCAATGAATCACCACGAGAGCATGTCCAACGTTTTCTTGAGCTAGCAGGAAGCTTGAAGATAAATGGCGTCCCCGAGGAGGCATTGCTATTGAGGCTTTTTCACTATTATTTGGCGGGGAAGGCACTCTGATGGCTCAACAACCGTCCAGATCTATCCATCACCTCTTGGGACGACTTACTCAACAAATTCATGACCCGATATTGTCCTCCTTCCAAAACGGTCGAGTGGAGAAAGAAGATCACTCACTTTGAGAAAGAGGAGGATGAGACATTGAGAGATGCATGGGAAAGATTCTCCGACTACTTCCTTCAATGCCCTCACCATGGATTCGAGGAGAAATTTCGGATAGAGACTCTCTATGGAGGAATCATCCAAGATAATAAGATTCTCATCAACTCTCTTTGCCAAGGGAAGTTGATGAATATGACCCCTCCTTAAGTGATCGAGTTGCTTGAAGATATGGCCCTCAAGGGATATGATTGGGGATTGACAAAAAGTGGGAAGAGAAGCACCGAAAGAGGAGTGAGAAGCGTGGGAGCAAGTGCTTCACTTGAAGTGAAGCTTGACAAGTTGGTCGAGGTGATCCTTGAGGGCAAGAAGCAAGGAAAGAGAGCGGTGATGTCTTGTGATTGGTGTTCGAGCACTAATCATGAAATTGCCGATTTCCAAGCGATGAAGGAGATGAGTACCCCCAAGGAGCAAGTGAGTTTCATTGCCAATGCTAGAGGAAACAACCCTTTTAGCAGCACCTATAACACCGGGTGGCGCAATCATCCAAACTTCGCTTGGTCTTCCCCTTCCAATCCAAGACCTCCCAGTTTCCGAGGTCCAATGGGTAACTATCAACCTCGACCAACTTTCATCCAACAAAAGCCTCAATTGAAATATTCGAACTTCCAACAACCATACCAAGCAGAAGGCAGTCAAGGGTTTCAACAAAAACAACAAGTTGACAAGTTCTCTATATTTGGAGACCTTGTGACCACCTTTGTGAGTACAAGCTCTCAGAAGTTCGAAAATATTGAGTTCATGGATGTGGCGACCTCCAAGTTTACCTCGGTTGAGGCAGGACTTCGAAGTCATCAAGCAAGTCTCCAAAATTTGGAAGTGCAAATCAGCAATCTTGCCGGGATCCTCACCAAGAGACCAAAGGGAGCCCTACCTTGTCAAACCATTACTAACCCCAAGGCTCATGCCGGGGTGAATGCAATTCATTTGAGGAGTGGGAAGGTGACTCCGGAGGTCGTTGCCAGAGAAGTGAGTGAGAAGGAAGACCCTCTACCCAAGGGTGAAGAAGAAGGCCACCACATGGAGAGTAAGTTGGGAGGCGACATGCCTCTCCCCGAGAACGTGAAGGATCCACTCTTGGCGACATCACGTTCAAAGGCGTGATAGATCCACAATGTGAAGCTAATGACGTTAACTTAGCGCTTGTTGGGAGGCAACCCAACGTAGATTTGTTTTCTTTTCCTTATTTTCGTTTTTGTATCGAGTGAAGAGTTCAAGTGTTCGAGTGGTATCCCCGTGCCATGTTTTTTTGATTGTGTGTTTTGAGTTGTGTCGTGAATGATAATAGGCACAGTGGAGTAGGTCGAGTAAAAATTTTCAGAAGTACCCTGTTTTCACTGATGTTCACAGGAGGATTGCTTTGTTCACGGTCTTATAAGACCGTGAACAGGAAAACGCGTATGTGAACCAGGGTACTTCCACGTATGTCAAACCTATCGAAAACCCCAGTTCACGGACGGATTGCAGTGTTCACGGTCTTAACAACCGTGAACTGGCAAACACGTCCGTGAACCGTAGGGTCTGCCTATAAAAGGGTCGTGAATGGTTTTCCTTCACTTCACGACCAAAAACTCGTAGGAATCCTCTGAATGTCGCCGGAAAATTGCGATTTCCCGACGATTTTCACTTTTTTCAACCACTTCCGGCAAGCCAAACCCAAAACCAAGCACAACCCTACTCTCCCCTCGTCAACGGCGGCCTTCGCCAGAATTTTGGGGAGATTTGGAGCATTTTTTTTCCAGTGAAGTCACCGCCGGCGAGGCTCCAACGAGACTCTGACGAGCTTCCGGCAATGCTCCAACGACCCTCCTCTGGTCTGTTTTTGGCCGATTTTTTGCCTCCCTCGCCCTCTCCTCACTTCCCCTGCCCTTCCTACTTGAGTCTCAAGGTTTGTTTTCAAATCCACCTGTATTATTTTGGGAGAATCAGATTAGATAGTGAAGTGAGGAAAATTTTAGTGAATTGAATGTTGAACTTAGCTTTAGGGCGAGGAATTAGGTGAATTAGGGTGATTGAATGGTTGAATGATCTTTGCATGAGCTTAGTTAAGCCTTGGTGGGCATGTTTTTTATTCAAATTGCTTTTATTTGTGGAATTTGCCCACCAAGTGCTAATTTGTGAATGGAGATGAAATGTTTATGCTTGAGTGGTGGTTGGTAGCCACCGTGGCATGGTTCAGGTTTAATTTTTGTGTGGATACTCCGTGAACACCTAGAACCATGCCTAAGTGTGCTTTAATCATAATTTTTTTTATTAGCATGGTCCCGTAGTGGAAATATAAGTGTGGGGGGAATTCCTTTTTCCTCCCAATGAGTTGAGATTGACAATTATTTCCATGTATGACGCATGTTTGTCGGTTTTGTAGGATGCTTATGGAGCACGAGTACATAAGCTACTTGGTGAACCACGCACTGTTCAGGACCAAGTTTGCATATCAGAGGGACATCCCGATTGGGCAACATTGGCGGCTGGACTTGGACATATTTAACATGTTCAGGTGCCGAGCCACGATGTCTGGGGTCATCTGTCACCCCTAGTGGCGCCAGTTGCTGTCTTTGGACAAGCTCATCTACGACGAGCTCTGCGTGGACTTCTACTCCACCTTCACACATGTCACCTCGACAAGAAAGAAGAGCCGACCCTACATAGAGTTTATGCTGAGCGGTCAGCCGTGGGTGCTGACCTATGATGCCTTCGCCCATGCCATGGGGCTCGACACTACATACATGACGATGACGGAGCTACAGTACACTGTCGATTTCCACTACCACGCCGTATTCCCGGCCCTCTGCCGCTACGAGCACGAGTAGGATGAGATTGAGGCTGGCCACACCAATGCGGTGAAGTTGAGGCCCCCGTGGAGGATCATGCACACGCTGCTCACCCGATCCGTCTTCCCCAGCTCGCAGTCGGGCCATTTGATCACGAACAGAGAGTTGCTTGCTCTCTTTTCTATGAGGCATCCAGCAAGCCAATCCACCTAGGATCACTGACTGCCACGTCTTTCGCCCGGTGTCTGTGGCGGAACAGGGTGGGCACCAAGCATATGGGGGGGGGGGGGGTCATCACGAGACTAGCTCGATACTTCTGCGTGGATATGGAGAGGTGCTCTATCGTCGGCCGGACAAATCCCTTCCCAGTGTTGACTCTCTACAATGTGAAGCTGGTGCTTCAGGGAGAGCGAGCGATAGAGTACCTCAACGGGCTCCGAACGTCATGAGTCATGAGGCTAGCAGTTGACCCAGTTCCAGTGGAGCTCGATGTAAAGGTCCCACCTCCATAGCAGCCACCTGTTCGAGGTCCTGGCCGCCGCCGACGTCCCACACTTCAGCGCCCTGCACCACCACCACCACCACTACAACCAGCAACACCATTAGTTGTCGGTCCTTCCACATCTGGGGTACCGCTCGTGGAGAGGATGGACCGTCTTGAGACCCACGTTGTGGACGTCACTTCCCATCTTGACCGATAGACCGACCTGCTCGAGCGAATTGCTCATCGCTAGGGCCTCCTTCCAGATGATGAGCCGAGGCCTTTGACTCAATGAGAGGTAGTAGACGAGTGAGACATGTGGCATAGCCGATTCCTTTCGCCCCACTTCTCTAGTTGGAACTCTGAACTCTGTTGTTTTATTTTTCTTTCTTTTATTTAGTATGTGTGAACAAGTACTACTATCATATTGTTTTGTGTAATAACCTCGCCTCAAACGAGTATTTGTTGTGTTTGTGTGTGTGTTTTTGTCTTCTTCTTGAAGCTAAACTCTCCTACCCCTGAAAAATTCCAATTTTCACTCACCAAGCCAAGTGGTAACATCGATCTACCCCTATCTTACGCCATTGAGGGCAATGTGGAACTTAAGTGTGTGTATGTGTGTGTGTGTGGGGGGGGGGGGTAGTTTATTATTATACTTGTGTGAGT